TATTTATGACTCCCACATCCCTTTTATCCTCCTCTGGTCTCCCTCCTTCCTTACTGCATGTGTTTTGCTTCCTTCTTCCTTGCTAATTCCACTTTCAAGCTCTCGCGTATTTTTACCCCCTCCTTTAGAACCGCATCCATTTTAATACTTCTGTCTTTGTCACTGTTCCCATAAGATAAAGTCCTTCCACTTAAACAAATATACTTTAGGCGGGACAAGTCTAAAGTTCCAAGGCTGGCAGCCACTGCCTGCCTGGGACAGTTATGGCTGACACTGGGTCTGATGCCAACACAGGGAGAGATAAGTAGATAAGGTAGAGTCTCCTTGTCTGCTCGACTGTCTCTTCTAGGCCAGGAGAGGTGACCCTTCTCTCTGGAGACAGCCTACATGTTTGAAAAACAGCTATTATGCAGGAATAGTGGGACAAAAGAGAATGAACACAACAAGCTTAACTGCTGGCACAAACCCTTCCTAACCTAACTGGAGAGAAACCACCCAAGATGATCAGGAGGGGCACGATAAACTGCTAGAAGCAAATTCTCTTTAGGATTTTCCAAGAGTTACACACTGCCTGAAGAGAAAAGGTGAGTTCAAAGATATTAAACTTACGCCTTTTCTGTCCTGAAAGATTTGTCACACGCCGGGCAGTAAAGGTCATCATACAGCTCAGCATCCTCGGCGTCCTCACTGTCCTGACCTACAAGGGGGAGACCTGTGGTAAGAATCCTGATTGACTAGAATACAAACACGAAGTACGTTAAAGTCCTGTATCTTTAGGAATGACCACAGGTATACAGAGATTATAAATTCATATTGTGGTATTTCCTTGTGAGGACCCACATTATGATATCAGAAGCAGCAGTACATTGTAAAACAAAGCATCCAACTAAATCACATTACCTTTCAAGTTATTTTTCATAAGTATATTTGGAAGATGACTCAAAATATCCTAAGTCTTAGGTATGAGCCGAGAGTCGAAAATCTAATGCCACATTAGGAACTTACCAGGAAGCAAATAGTTCAACAAAGGTTTTTTTTTTTCAGTTTATGTCTTTAGCAAGATTTGGTTCAAACATATCTACAACTGTATTCTACCCTTAAATACTTAAATACACGCAGCTAACAACCTTCCATCATTATTGTTGTTGTTGTTGTGTGCCATCAACTCAATTCTGACTCATGGTGACCCTATGTGACACGGAGAACTGCCCCATGGTTTTCTTGGTTGTAATCTTGAGGGAAGCAGATTGCCAGGTCTTTCTTCTATGGAGTGGCTGGGGAGGTTTGAACTGCCAACCTTTCGGTTAGCAGCCATTCAATAACCTTGGACTAATCCAATGATTAAGAACACTGGATTTACAGTACAAATCTAGATCTAAAACTGGCCATGTGTTCTCAGGCACATCCTGTAAGTTCCCGGAGTCTGTTTCTGCATCAATAAAATGATTAAAATCCACATTGAAGGTGTGCTATGTGAGGATCAAGCAAGATTTTGTATTTGAAGGCACTTTATAAATTAGGAAATGCTACATAATTATGCCCCCTTACATTTACAGAGTGCTTTGTAATTTTCAAAGCACTTCTACATGTACTTCACTTCTGATTCATTAATGAAACACTTAATTTCCTAACTATTTTGAATAAATAAAAGTTCGTCATTTCATCACCTGGGTGGGCTACCAGAACTGGCAAACCATGTTTGTGATAAAACCAAACCAAACTCAGTGCTGTCGAATCAGATCTGACTCACAGCAACCCCCCCTTAGGATTCCGAGGCGGTATCACTATGGAAGCAGATTGCCCCCTTCCTTCCAAGGAGTGGCTGGTGGGTTTGAACCACCAGCCTTCTGGTTAGCAGTCAAATGCCTTAGGCACTACGCCACCAGAACATTTGTAATAGATAGTCAAATTGATAGATGATGTTCGGATCATTCAATTTTACTCCTCATAGACCAAAGACAGAGGGCAAAATCAGGCACACAGTTATTCTCAACGATGCCTAAGCCTCCCCCGATTTAGTCAAACGCCTGTGCTCGAATGTCACAGGCAGAGACACGAGCCATTTCAGTGAACAGAGAGGAGAGCACCTCCACAGGCGGATATGAGAGGCGGGATTCACATGCACCACAGATTCCTGCTCAGATCAGCTTTTCTGAAAATAGCTGATACTGAAACTTGACCTACAGCTGTCTCTCCTTTGGTAACCAGTCAGTCACACTTGTCAATATGGCCACTTGCCCATATACTTCCACAGCCTGAAGCACAAATCATTCAGAACATGGTCCGAAAAGAGCTGTTACTCAAACTACTTGAATTAGACTATTTCAATAGGCCCCTTTTCTTTGGCTCATACAGGATGGCTGTGAAGTTTAAATTACTCACCATGTTTAAAAATTTAGACATATAAAGTCCAGATTTAAAAACAAGAGCAGTCTGACAACACTGGCTCCTATTCCTCCTGCCAGCAGCCAGCTGCACCTCCGGGGGCCTGCAGGTTCGTCCTATTTGCTTGCCCATTCCCTGTTCTCTTACCTGTGGGCCCCTCCACTGGCACTGGTAGGCAGCTGAAGGCACAGGGTCTGCCCAGAGAGATATTTATTTCCTAACGTCTCTCAATGAAAGAAGAAAGAATTACCATCCTGTCCGTCTCTGGGATCTAGTTCCTCCATTTCATCCGTATCCGATTCATCTCCAAACTCCTTTCCGTACCGCACCTCCATCTCCCTGAGCTCCTTCTCCAAGTCGGCCACCGGCATCCAGCTCTGCTCCTTGTACTGCTCTGCCAGCCTAGGCACACAAGAGGACAGTCGCACTGACACGGAGAAGCAGTTGCAGCACTGTTTTTATAGTTATTTGTTAGCCTTAACTCCATCCCCTAGAAAACCTCTTCCTTCTAAGCTGAAAATGTCAACAAACTGTTAAAGCCTAAACGCTTAGTTGAAACGCAGGCAAAGTCACTTATATCTGTTCATTCATATGTGGTTGATTTTAACTGCTCTACTAGATGATGGGTTTTGAACACCGAACTTTCAGCAACTTCATAAAGGCTTTCAGGTAATTTTAAGTCGTATTTTCAGTATTAAATGCTAATTTCCAAAAGATGCAGGGTGAGACAGGAAGAATTTTTAGACTGGTTTTTAAAGAATGCTATAATTTTCAATTTTACAAATCACATTACCTTTCAAGTTATTTTTCATAAGTGTAAAGTTTTACTCTAATTTTCAGTTTTACAATGCTATAATATGCTTACATAAGGCATCTTACAGTTAATTCCTAACAACAAAACTTAAAAGGAGCCAAAGCTAACTAAATGTCTAAGGGTAACCGGTACTGACAAAGAGGTAACATCACGTGGTGGTTAAAAACGAGGGCTACAGAGTCAGAGGGGTTGGGTCCACTTCCCAGCTCCGTAATTAACCAGCTCAGTAACCCTAGGCCTTTCTGCCTCATTTCTTCAAAAGAATGAGGAGGATAAAAAAAAAACCACACACTTCACAGAATCACGGCAAGGACAGTGCTTAGCACAGGGCCTTGTACAGAATAAGAATTCAACTAACATTAGTTATTACACAAGTGTCTATAAAGTATCTTACATATAAAGGGCCTCTAGAGCAAACCATCCAATTAGAAAGAAAAATTTTTGCACAAGATGAACAAAAAACATCATCCACTGGCAGAATTTTAGAAAAAAGGATAGAATAAGGATGATGATTTAAGCAACATGAAAATGCACATCACGTATCCACAGGTGCGTCCCTGGGCTTCCATCCAGAGAAGGAGCCAGGCGTGTGACGTACTTTGCCTGCTTCAGCTTCTGTTGCCGCCTCATCTCTTCGGCCTTCCTTGCCTTCTCTGCATTCTGCTCTTCCACCAGTTTCCGATGTGCCTGCACTCTTTTATCTCGTTTACGGATGAAAGCCACCAGCTGTCGGACAAGTTCATTCTTCTCTTTCCTTGCTTTGTCCCGAATCTTTTTGTTTTCTTTTTCCATGGCTCGTTTTTCCCAGCGGTTTGAAGCTTGTCGTGTATCATATTCCTCCTTCCAAGCAAAGTTCTTCTGTGTGCAGAAACTTTGCCAGTAAGCGTAGAAGGGATGGACTACCTAGCAACAAAGAAAATAGGTAAAAAAATCTATTTTTCAATTTAGATTTTTTTTAAGAAAATCAGCAAATATTAGCGGTGCAAAATATCTCATAGTTTTGTTAATTCTTTTTTTGAAACAGCACTGTTGATTAAAAGAGAAGACAGTCCTTTCAAGACATTACAGAGTAGGTCACTCCTCAAAAAGGATTTAATGAGGAAAAGAAGAGCACCTTATTGACCACAGAACAGAAGCAAGGTCAATAAACAGGGAAAAGTGAAGAGAGGAGGCCACGAGAGAGCCGAGTGCTCCTGCAGGAAGGGAGTTTTTGAAAAACAAGGAAATGGAGAAGAGACACACTGATGAATGCTAATCATAAAGTGGCAGTGAATTTTTTTTTCCCTTAATGTTTTCTTTTACCGTATCATAGTCACTCTGAGAGTCTCCAAAAGTTGGGAAATCCTCAACTGCATCCTCTAACACGGATTCCAGTTCTTCCTTTGCAATCATTTCAAAAACACTACGATACACAGTGTAGAAACCCTGGAAACAGTAACAGAAACACAAATTCCTGATGATTGTGTGATCTAATCACAAGTAAGACTTAAAAATGTAATATGACAAACTTTGATGTGAAAGAATTACAGGACCAACATTATCACTGCAACTACATTTGTATTTCAATTGCCTGGTTCCTGTACAACGAATTTAAAAAGGAAGGCAATTTTTAAATTTCACTTTTGAAAAAAACTTTTTACACTTTTTACACTAGAACATTTTAAGAGTCTTCTTTGTATTTCAGAGCCTTTCCTATGTGCTTGATAAGAAATTAAGAGTGGGTGCAGTTATCTTACCTTTTCATCATCTCCATAACCAGAATAGCAGGTAACCGTGAAATAGTGAAGCAAATCTAAGCTGTCATCTTGATACTCTCCATCAAGTCCACCTTTAAGCAGAGCCTCTCTGTGATTATCATACCTAAAAATATTATCATTAGTGAAGGCTTAAGAAGAATTCAAAAGGACTCTTTCCTATGAAACACCCAAACTACTACTATAGTGCATTCCAATGTGTCTAAGATGCAACCAAAGCAATTTAAGGTAAATATCGACATGAAAAGACTCACTAATCCTTCACAGAACTCCTGATTCAAATTACAACTGCAACTTCTAATCACCCACAATCCTTATGCACTTCTAGTCCATAAGAAGAGGGGCCTTTAGCAACCCAGAGAAATTCTCGGTCTTTCCAAGAAAAACCACAGGAAAATAAAATTACTAAGTAAGACCATGCTGGATATAATATGGTCCATGGACGAATTACATACTTGGGATGCAGGAATTTACCAGCATACACCAAAATAAAATTCTTCATACATTTATGTAGACTTAATCTATAGAATTTTAACCACAGAGAACTGATCAACTAGAACAATGATAAAAGAAGAAGCTGATTTGTTTTACAACACTTTCAACTTTAAAAGAGTCACTTTTTGGTACTTCACAAATAAAGCTGGTGACATGCCCACCTAAAATATGAACTACGTACAGTTAACAATTTCCATTTAGTGCCAAGCACCACACTAGGAGAGTGTATACGGACATTATTCCAATTGTTGTTGTTGTTAGGTGCCAGTGAGTTGTCTCCGACTCAAAGCGACCCTACACACAGCAGAACGAAACACCACCCGCTCCTGAGCTAGCTCCATGATTCTTGCTATACTTGAGCCCATCGCCGCTGCCACTGTGTCAATGGGTATTCCGTCAATTCCTGGCGCCTTGTTCTTGATCAGTTCTTTCAGTGCAGCTTCAACTTCTTCCTTCAATACCATGGGCTCTTGAACATATGCCACCTCCTGAAATGGATGAACATCAACCAGTTTTTTTGGTGCAGTGATTCTGTGTATTCCTTCCATCTTCTTTTCATGCTTCCTGCATCATTCAATATTTTGCCCATAGAATCGTTCAATATTGCAACTCAAGGCTTAAATTTTTTCCTCAGTTCCTTCAGCTTGAGAAATGCTGAGCGTGTTCTTCCCTTTTGGTTTTCTAACTCCAGGTCTTTGCACACTTCATTATAGTAACTGGCTTTGTCTGCTCCCTTTACCTGCTCTTCCCTCAAGGGCAAGTTTCAGAGTCTCTTCTGACTCAATTTTTTTTTTTTTT